GGATTAGAATAGTTAAATGCTTGTTTTTGACCCGGCTATGGACAAAATCAGCTGAAGGGCCTTTTTCTGTGTTGTAAAACTCAATACTAGAGTTCTAGTATTGGTGCCCATCGAGGATATCATCATATTGCAAATCCTCCTAATGTAAAGATTGCATTTGCTTGCTGTTTTCTAGTGTTCACGCTGATTGGATTGCAATTGTAAAGGTACTGTGCGGAGTGAATCCAGGTACCCCTGCAGACCCTGTCAGTGAAATACGTTGAGATGTGAAGCCCCTTTGATGCAAAGGGGCTGCATGGGATTCAAAGCGGCAGAACGTTCTGATCATATTCAGGAACAAAAACAGAAGTCGTTGAAAAAGCTCAGCAGGTCTGCCAGCATCTGTGAAGGAGAAAAGAGTTAGCGTTTCTGGCCCGATAACAATTCCTGAGAACTGATTATATTCAGTCCTTGGAAGAAAATCACATGGTGTTATGTAAAATGGCTCCAGGCCTCAATCAGCCATTAAATTCTATATACAACCTTCATGAACAGGTATGTTCAAACCCTGGTTTCCAATACGACTGGATAATTTGTTAGTTCATCAAAGATCGGTCTCAAAAGTAGTAAAATATGATTATGGGAATAACGCACGTGGCATATTATTAATTAACAATACCACAAACTGGGATAACAGAAGTTATACAGGTGCTTACTTGCAAGTGAAAACTTTGTGAAACACTTGGTAAAAAGTATGCATTTTTCACAGTGCCCATGTCCATTCTCCTCATTCTTACAATCTCTGGACCTGATTCTAACCCACTCTGCACCATTGCTCTTTTGTTAGTTTCATTTAAGTTGGTCAACCAAGTACTTGCAGTGGTAAGGAGGGCATTATTCCGCTCAATCATATTGGTTTCTATACACTTTGCAACAACTTTGCCCAGTTTAGTGCAGTTCTCAATAGCCTGAGATCAGTGGACACAGCAGTGATCAGGAATGGGACAGTGCCACCTCTGACTATCTGTCATCCAGTTCTTGTACCCGCTGACCCCATTGAAGGAATATCACCATTTCCCTTCCACTTCGGTTTGATGTTACACCTCACGTGCTGGATCTGGCTATTTCCTTTACTACTACAAGCACTAAGGGAGTTGATGGAGCAAAGCAACACATCTTTACCAGTCTTTGTGCAGGGATGCAAGAAACTATTCCTCAGATCATTGCACCTGTGAGGCAAAGAAACAAGAACATATCAAAGAAATGTCCTAGTCAGGAAAGCCTTGTAACCCAGTGCAGTCCAGTTGCAGATCTTATAGCGAACCGTGAATTTGGGAGCCGGACTGTATGTAGGGAGATGTCTGGTCTTTCTATTGATCTGTTGAGCAGAAATTTCCTATCACTAAAAGAGCCATTGACTTCATATCCTGTCCACTCATTAGCTAACGACTCCTTCCCTTTCCCTTGGCATCTGTTGGAGGCTGAAGCAGACGATTTACAACTTTAATGAAATTACTGACCCTGATGTGAACTTCAAACTTCATGTCCTCATCATTGTTAAACCTGTCTATCTCCACCTCTGTAATGTTGCTGAGCTCTGCTACTGCAATTGTTACCTCTGTAGACTTTGCATTCCAATCTACTCCTGACCAATCTCCTCTGCTTTGATTAATTGATTTATTGTGGTCACACGTACCGAGATACAGTGCAGAGTGTTGTTTTGCATGCTGTACAGGCAGATTGTACCATATAAAGTGCGTCAGGGTAGCAGAACGAAGTGCAGGATACAGTGTTACAGCTGCAGAGAGATAGATCAGAATTAACATTTGAGAGTTCTGTTCAAAAGTGTGATAACAGCAGGGAAGAAGCTGTTCTTGAATCTGTTTGTACGTGTGTTCAAACTTTTATATCTTCTGCCTGATGGAAGAGAGTATAACCAGAGTGGGAGGGGTCTTTGATTATGTTGATTGCTCTCCTGAGGCAGCGGGAAGTGTAGATGGAGTTAATGGATGTGAGGCTGGTCTGTGTGATGGACTCGGCTGTGTTCACAACCCTCTGTAGTTTCTTGTGATCATGGGAAGAGCAGTTGCCATATCACACTATGATGCATCAGATAGGATGCTTTCTGTGGGGCATCTTAAAATATTGGGAAGAATCCTTGCAGACATGCCGATTTTCCTTAGCCTCCCGAGGAAGTAGAGACATTGCTATGCTTTCTTGACTGTCACGTCGATGTGGGTGGGCCAGGACAGATTGTTGGTGATCGCCACTCCCAGGAACTTAATGCTGTTGACCATCTCCACCTCAGCACCATTGATGCAGAAAGGGGCGTGCCCTCCACTCCACTCCCTTCATTAATGCTGACATTGATGGAGAGACCATTGTCTTTACACCATGCTGTGAAGCACTCAATCTCTTTCCTGTATTCTGTCTCAGCCTGTATTCTGTTTGAGTTCAACCTACAACAGTGGTGTTGTCAGCAAACTTGTAAGTGGAGTTGGGGTGGATTTTGACCTCACAGTCGTCAGTGTATAAGGAGTATAGTAGGAGGCTGAGTGTACAGCCTTGTGGGGCACCGGAATTGGGGAATATTGTCAAGGTGGTGTTGTTGTGGTCTATTGGTCAGAAAGTTGAAGATCCCATTACAGAGGAGGCAGCCAAGACCTAGGTCTCTGAGTTTAGAGATGAGTTTGTTTGGAATTATGGTGTTGAAGGCAGAACTGTATGTAGGACCTTGACGTAAGTATCCTTGTTATCCAGATGTTCCAGGAATGGGCGTAGTGGCAGGAAAATAGTGTCTGCGGTGAACCTGTTGCGCCAGTAGGCAAATTGCAAAGGATCAAGGCAATTTGATTGGCTGGAGCTGATGTGAGCCATGACTAACCCCTCGAAGCACTTCATAATTATGGAGATTAGAGGCACTGGGTGGTAGCCATTGAGGCACGCTGCATGGTTTTTCTTTGGGATGATGGTGGTCCCCTTGAAGCAGATGGGGACTTCAGATCATAATAAGGAGAAGTTAAAGATGCCCAGGTTACCTCAACAGCCCTGCTGTACTTGTCCTAAATTGTGCCAAATCCCAGTCATGCACCTCTTCTGCATTTGTTGACTTTGTTTTTAAATCCCTCCATTGACCCACCCATCCCTATCTCTGTAACATCCTCCAGCTGTATAAACATGTGCAGTTCCTCCATTTTGTCCTCTCGCATGCTCACTTTTAGCTTCCTGAGGAAGATCAACCATGATCTTAAGATAACAAGGTGTGGAGCTGGATGAACACAGCGGGTCAGGCAGCATCAGAAGAGCAGGAAAGCTGACATTTCGGATCTGGACCCTTCTTCTGAAGAAAGAGTCCAGACCCAAAACGTCAGCTTTCCTGCTCCTCTGATGCTGCCTGGCCTGCTGTGTTCTTCCAGCTCTACACCTTGTTATCTCAGACTCCAGCATCAGCAGTTCCTACTATCTCTCAACCATGGTCTTGTTGCCTAATGATAAGCTTCAGGGGCTGAATGGCCTACTTTTTCATGATAGAGTGGTTAGCAAGGTTAGATCACATGGAATACAGGGAGAACTAGCCATTCAGATACAGAACTGGCTCAAAGATAGAAGTCAGAGCATGGTGGTGGAGGGATGCTTTTCAGACTGTGCCACGAGGATCAGTGCTAGGTCCACTGTTTTTTGTCATTTATATAACTAATTTGGATGTGAATATAGGAGGTGTGGTTTGTAAGTTTGCAGATGACACCAGAATTGGAGGTATGGTGGACAGCGAAGAAAGTTCCTCAGAGTACAACAGGACCTTGATCAGATGGGCCAATGGGTTGAGTGGCATATGGAGATTAATTTAGATAAATATGAGGTGCTGCATTTTGGAAAGGCAAATCAGGGAAGGACTTATACACTTAATGGTAAGGTCCTGGGGAGCGTGGCTGAACAAAGAGACCTTGGAGTGCAGGTTCATAGTTCCTTGAAAGTAGAGTCGCAGCTAGATAGGATAGTGAAGAAGGCGTTTGGAATGCTTGTCTTTATTGGTCAGTGTCTTAAGTATAGGAGTTGGGAGGTCATGTTGCAGCTGTACAGGACATTGGTTAAGCCGCTTTTGGAATACTGCATGCAATTCTGGTCTCCCTGCTATAGGAAAGATGTTGTGAAACCTAAAAGGGTTCAGAAAAGATTTACAAGAATGTTGCCAGGGTTGGAGAGTTTGAACTAAAGGGAGAGGCTGGATAAACTGGGACTACTTTCCCTGGAGCATCAAAGGCTGAGGGGTGATCTTAAAGAGGTTGATAAAATTATGAGGGGCATGGATATGGTAAATAGACAAAGTCTTTTCCCCAGGGTGGGGGAGTCTAAAACTAGAGGGCTTAGGTTTAAGGTGAGAGAGGAAAGACTTAAAGGGGACCTAAGGAGCAATTTTTTCACTCAGAGGGCGGTGCGTGTATGGAATGAGCTACCAGACGAAATGGTAGAGGCTGGTACAATTACAACATTTAAAAGGCAGCTGGATGGGTATATTAAAAGGAAGGGTTTTGAGGGATATGGGTCAAATGCTGGCAAATGGGACTAGATTAATTTAGGATATTTGCTCGGCATGGGCAAGTTGGACTGAAGGGTCTGTTTCTGTGCTGTACATCTCTATGATTCCACGACTCCTCATATTTCTTGTGTACATTTATAATCGCTCCTGTAATGTACCTGCAGCTGTGCCTCCAGCTGCCAACACCCTCAGCTCAGATGCTCCTTAAAACCTGATATTTTGGCAATTTACCCGAATATCTGTTTCTGTGGTTCTGTGTCCATTTCTGTTTGCTTTAACTCATTGGCAAGCACCCTGGATGTTTTACGAACAGTGAATGTGATTTATCATGTCTTAAATTTCAGCAGAAGCCATACAAATGTGTTAAATGACAGCAATATGCATATTACAGAGATGTTAGTTCAGTTCACAAAAGACAGCACGTAGCTGCAACTTTGTTGATTTACACTAGAAGCCTTTAACCCATTCGTGTTTTTGATTTCAGGAAGCCTGTTAGATTTCCTAAAAGATGGAGAAGGAAGGATATTGAAGTTGCCCAACCTTGTGGATATGGCAGCACAGGTAAGGAATAAAGTCTGGAAAGCTCCCAAACGTTACTGTTAACGGTCTTTGTCAACAACCTCATTCACTCACTTCTAACCTGGTTTGAAACAGGTTGCAGCAGGGATGGCCTACATTGAGAGGATGAACTACATCCACAGGGACCTACGATCAGCCAATATTCTGGTTGGAGATAATCTGGTGTGCAAGATTGCTGACTTTGGATTAGCAAGATTAATTGAGGACAATGAGTACACAGCGCGTCAAGGTGAGTTAGATACAACATTGGCTGAGTGATAGGAAGCAGAGTGTTATGGTCAATGGATGTTTTTCAGGCTGGTGGAAGGTTTGTTGTGGGTTCCCCTGGGACTCAATACCAGAACCTTTGCTTTCCCTGATTTATATGAATGATCTGGATCTGGGTGTGCAGGGGACTGTTTCAAAGTTTGCAGATGACACAAAATTGGAAATGTTGCGAACTGAGAGAAGGACAGCATGGAACTCCAAAAGGGCATTGACACATTGATGGAGTGGGCAGATGAAGATCAATGAGGAGAAGTCTGAGGTTGGTTTTGATAGGTAGAACACAGGGGTAATGAGAAAAAGAGGGCACAATTCAAAAAAGGATACGGAGCAGAGGGTTCTGGGTGTGTGTATGTACATTAACCATGAGAGTTAGCAGGAAAGGTCAATAAAGCCTTTAATAAAGCACAAGTTATTTTTGTACTTCTCTCCACAGATGCTGTTAGAGCTGCTGTTCCTCCAGCACATTTCTGTTTGAATTTCAGATTCCACACTTGTTTACAGTGTTAGAAAAATGTATTTTAAATGTAATGAGTGCAAACTCCTTTTTGAAAAATTCTGTTGTTTCAGGTTGGGCTTTCCTGCACACAACAGTGATTACACTTAAAAATATTCCATCAGTTGTAAAGCATCCTGGGGCATCTGCGAGCATCCTGATGAAAGACACTACACAATTAAAAGGCTTTTTCCTTGATAAATAACATGCACTTTCTTCACCATGAAAAGGATGTGTTGGATCCTCTTCCTGGGATTCAGTTGGACCTTAGAGGATGCAGGAATGATTACCATCAAGTTTAACAACCTGCCATTTCTAATGGGAAAAAAAAAAAAGTGTAAATATATTGCAAACTTGGCATTTGTAAGGAGATGAAGTTCCCTACCACCATCTTCCCCTAACACCTAAGGCTGTCAGCTGCAGCACCAGAAAGAAAGTAGAGTGGTTGTAGGCGCATGTGGAGATGGAGAGACTGAGATTGAAATAGGTAGTGGATAGCTCTGCTGTAGAGGATAACATTGAACGTTGTGACCAGATGAGCACACCAAACTGGGAGATCCCAATTCAAATCCCAGCTCTTGTACTCATCTCTGCCAGGGTGCAGTAGGAGATGCTTCAGTTATCCTGCATTACAGAGGCAGACAATCACAATTGTTCCAGCATGGAAGGGAACCATTCAGTCCACTGGGTCTGCAACACCTCTTCAAATGATCATCATTACCCTCTGCCGATCTCCTGATCTTCCCCCCCGCCCCCCCTCCCCTAACCTTGCACGTTATTTCTATCCAAATAATCATTCAACACCTCTATTGAACTGGCTGTCACCACATTTGTAGGCAGACCATTTCACCCCGCAACTACTCACTTTGTGAAAATGTTTTTGTTATCTCACTTTTTCTGAAAAGCACTTCAAATTTGTGCCCTCTGCTTCTTGATCCTTGTACAAGTTTCCTCTTTCTACTTTATCCAACGCCTCATGGTTTTGAAAACCCTCAATCAAATCTCCTCTCAGCCTTCCTCTTTCCAAGGAAAAGAGTTCTAACTTCTTCAGTCTACCATCATAAAGGAAGCTCCTCATCCCTGGACCCATTCTTGTAAACTGCTTTCTGCACTCTCTCCCCATTGCATTCACATCCTTACTATGATGTGATGTCTGGAACTAAACACAGCACCTCAGTTGAGGTCTAACAAGTGCCATCTACAACGTCAACATTACCTCCTTGCTCTTGTACTCCATGCCCCTGTTAATAAAGCTAGGGATGCTGTACATTTTGTTAATTGCTATCTCAAATTGATCTTGCTACCCTCAATGGTGTGTGCACATGTATACCCAACTCCCTCTGCTCCTGTGCCCTCTTTAGAATTACATTCCCCATTTCATATTGTCCTTCAATTTTCTTCCAACCAAAATGCATCACGTCACACTTATCTGCATTGATCCTTACCCATTACCTATCTGCCTGCTCCAGCAACATTATCAACATCCTTTTGAGTTTCACACTCTCCTCTCCATGGTTTACAATTCTTCCAAGTTTCAGGTCATCTGCATACTTCGAAATTGTTCCGTGCACACCAAGATCCAGATTGTTTATTATTATCAGGGGAAGTGAGGGTCCCAATACTGACCCCTGGGGAACTCCACTAAGAACATGGAAAAATTCAGGTCTGGTGCATCTGCACAGAGAAAGTAGAGTTAACATTTTGGGTCCAGTGATCCTACTTCAGTGCTGAAGTTCTGTTGAGGTATTTTCCAGCAATTTCTGTTTTTGCATCTGATTTACAGTATCTGCAGTTCTTTGGAGGTTTTTCCCCCACTACAAATGCCTCCAGCCTATAGAATATCTTTTGATGACTACTCTCTGCTCCCTATCACTCAGCTGGTTTATAAACACGTTGTTACTGACCCTTTTATTCCGTGACCCACAACATTCCTCTGAATTGGCACTGTGTCAAACATCTTCCAGAAATCCGTGAACACCACATCAGCTGTGTTTCTGCTGTCTCTTCAACAAACTCCAGCAAGTTAGTAAAACATGATCTTCCCTTTAGAAAACTGTGCTGATCAACCCACTTTTCTCCATGTGTTACAATCCGTCCTCTTGATCATCTCTTCCTCAAACCCTGCTGCAGTTTTGGATTCTGGAATATCTGGGAAGGAGAGAATTGAGGAATATTGAAAATTGAACAGAAAAGTTAAATGTTTTGTCGTAGAAACCTGTAGACTTGTCATGATTGCAACGAGGTCAGCTAGGTAGACATTATAGAATAAAATTCCCTGTTAGTCTGGTCCAATCAGGGACCCCTGGCTGACAGATAGGAACAGGATTGTCAGAGGTTCTGTTCACTCCGAGAGCTGGGTTAGTGTCACAGAATCTCCACATGTAAATAAAAAGTGACTTGGTGATGGGATACCAGCCTCTGGAGTTATGTCAACTTGTATGCAGGAACTAAACTGCTTAATCATCGGCCATATGCAATTTTAGTCTAAAATCAGCAAGAAATAAGCAAAATCTCTTGAGCAAGGCAAAAATAAATACTTAATGCAGCTGTTAGAGCAGGGAATGACCAAAAGCCTCTGATAATTACCAAAACACAAGTCCCCATCTGCTATAAGTAACTCTGTGTGGAGCTGGAGGAACACAGCAGGCCAGGCAGCATCAGAGGAG